TTATACACACACACACACACACACACACACACACACACACACACATATATATATATATATATATATATATATATATACATATATATAGACATTTATGCCTAAGTTATGCACAAACATGTACATGTATATAGACATATAAACAAAAAGTATGCACACACATGTACATGTATGTATATATGACATTTGTAAACATAAATTATGCACACACATGTCCATGTATATAGAAATATTTTAAAAAAGTATGCACACAGATGTACATGTATACAGACATACACCCATGAACTTATACCCACCTGCCCGTGGTTGGGTAGACTGCTTCGCTGTGGACCATGAGCATGCGCACAATGGTTTCTATGATCAGAACGTTAATGCGGAACAGCGTTGCGCTGATACCACTCTGCTGCAAGCGATCACGAGATGTGCCATTGGCTGCCCCCTTACCATGGTCACGCGACTGTGCGTGGGAGAACAACGTGCAGAGAGTGAGTGTACGACAGTGTTGTGAATTGCATACACAGTACTCTCGTGGTGGCTGTATCAATATGCATGGGTTGAGTCATTGCCAGTTCCGTTGCCATAGTTACGTGATTATTTGAGTGGTAATAACGTGAAGGTTGGATCTGATAGCGTTGGTTGTTGGGATGCATGGAGTCTCATTGCATCCATATAGAGATATATGAAAATAACATTTATATACCAAATGTACGTGAATGGTTGCTCAGCCTTGGCTATATGCTTGACACCATAGATGTAATAGCACATATGTCTCCCTCACACATACTCACACACTCACATACCCACATACATACTCACATACTCACATACTCACACACTCACATACATACTCACATACTCGCCCTATGTGATACACAGCCACCTAATGCCCTGGACACGCGCCAATAAAAACGCACAAATGAAAACGTACACTCAGCAAGCATGGCACTTTACCTGATTGTTAGGATGTGTGTTGTTTGCGCATGTCTGTGGGCCATTCGCTTGTGCGGTGGGCGGAGTGTCAAATGGGAACGACAGCGCTGTGGGAGGCAACAGCGGGAATGGGTATTAGAAAAAAGAGATAAAAATATGTATGCAAAAGTGCATGAAGTACCTGAGGTCGACACATCAAATATGTATATATGCATATGTGTATGTATGTATATGCATCTGTGTATGTATATGTGTATGTGCATGTGTATGTGCATATATGCATGGTCGAAATACTCCTATTACATAGTGTAATATATACGCAAATACATCCCAGATGACAGCAATACACACATTCATGCATCTATATACATCTATACACGTGTTTGCGCATACTCTTTGGGATGTCTGTCTACCTACATAGACTACCTAGCATGCGCACGACCACAACAATCAACCCAACGAACGCCTGCACGGGGCCAATGTCCTGTTTTAATCCCACATACCCAGGATAGCCACCAGCACCACCGCAACAACAGCTTCACAGCAGGCGATACAACACACACACACTCCATCCTCACAGCCCACACACACCACGTTGGGTCCCTACTTCACTGAGTCCATATTAAAAAAGGTAGTGCGTTTATCAGCGCATTGCCATCACGTGGCAGAAGTTAAGTTTTTTTGACTTCTTTATGTCTAAAATTGCGAGAAACGAACTCGTTGATACAACGCACACAAAGACAGAGGATAACAAGCACATACACACACTAATAGGGATAGGCACGCATTTAAAAACAAACAACAACACATAAACAACACGTCATCATCGTTCACCGCACAGTACAGAAGGATCAACACGTCATCAGGCCTCAAAACAACAACACGTCATCATCTCCCATCCAATGCACAAGAAAAGAAGCAACAACACGTCATCATCTGTTCGTCTCTATACCTGGGGCAGCCACCAATGTCTTGTAGACGACGAAGCAGCAGCTTTCCAGCAACCGATACAACGCATGTTTCATTCGCGTGCTGAGTTGTTTGCCGCCTCTCACAGAAGTTCCGGCCGAAGGCGATGCGCCTGTGACAATGTGACAGATGTGAGTCACCACAGCACCCGCACAGACACTCGCTAGGTCTAATAGTCAACACACGCCAAGCCATGTGGAGCATATCAACCCACTCGAACCCAACCCACCCCACCCCACCCAAACCCAACGCAACGCAACGCAACCCAATCCAACGCAACGCAACGCAACCCACCGCACCGACCCCAGCCCAGCCCAGCCCCAACCCCAAGCAATTGAGTCGTATCAAACACATAAACAAATCAATAGCTATGTATAAGCCATAGTGATACCTTTGTGTGCTGCTCTGCCGCGTCCTATAGTGCTGAGTGTTGGGGCTATTGAGACTTTGGTAGGAACTGTGCCGCTTGAAGCGGGTGCACTTGCGGTTGGCAGACTCACAGTGGTACTACTGTAGTCGTACGTCTCTAGCAGACACAATATACCTGCGACAAGGGTTCAGGGTTTAGAGTTTAGAGTTTAGGGTAGCAGGGTTTGAGATTGGTACGTGAATTCGATTTAGCAGTCAGACTTTGATGTAGTTTGTGTGCCCATGTGAGACACAATATAAACGGGTTGAGGATTTAGGGTTTAGGGTTAAGGCCCTTATGGGTGGTGGTGGGACGTCCAATACCTTCATGCAGATGGACCAGCTTCTATTGCAGTCTATATACGTTTAATAGACAGAATTGCAACGGTATGCACAAACAACTCATATATGTATGCACATATATCTAAGCTCAGGAAGTCTGAATCTGTAGCGAAGGCTGCTACGGTTAAATGGACCGGATGCCGTATGAGATGATGTGGGCGTTGATATATATAAAAATAATATATAATTATACACACACACACACACACCGTTTTCTCTAATATATATATATATATAGATAGATGGATGGATCAACAGATACAATAGATACAAAGATAAACACACATACATTCAAGTATACCTACCTACATAACACTTACATACATACATACAAACATAGATACATGTATATATGACTCACACAAATTCATGCAAACATACAAAATACGTCCACGCAAGGCATACATCCGAACTACCTGCAAAGAAGTCGGCGTGGTACGAGTTAAGATACTTCTGAGTGTTGAATGACTCCTGCGTGTCTGCACCAGCCTCGCCTTCAGCACAGACACTATCACCGCACTGGCCAACCAGACTGCCATCTGCTGCGAACAAAGTGGTCCCCTCAATCTGCACAAACAACACGAGCGCAGTTGGGTAGGAGTACGTATGTGGGTGTAAACGATCGCAACAAGTGGTGATGGTCGAGTGGCACTCTCAGCCTACAGGCACAACAACAACGGGGGGTAGTGGCTATTGGTAGTATTGGGATACAGCCACAACAACAATAACGGGGGTTAGTTGCTATTGGTAGTATTGGAATACAGCCACAACAACACCAACGGGGGTTGGTTGCTATTGGTAGTATTGGAAATCAGACACAGCAACACCAACGGGGGTTAGTTGCTATTGGTAGTATTATGATACAGCCACAACAACAACAACGGGGTTAGTTGCTATTGGTAGTATTGTAATACAGACACAACAACACCAACGGCGGGTAGTTGCTATTGGTAGTATTGTAATACAGACACAACAACACCAACTGGGGGTAGTTGCTATTGGTAGTATTGAAATACAGACACAACAATAACAACGGGGGGTAGTTGCTAATGGTAGTATTGCAATACAGCCACAACAACAACAACGGTGTGTAGTTAGTTTAGTTGCTATTGGGAGTACTGGAATGTACCCGCGGTACTCACACGAGAAGTGTAGTAGTTTTGTTATAGCGGACAATGCAATATGCGCGTAAACGCATTCAGTCCTCAACGCTCTATATCATCCGTAACCCTCACAACAGAGGTTGCATTGATGGTTGATGGTTGCTGTGTTTAGGTTATATTCTCACATCTGTATTAGTAACAGGCACACAGCAACGTATGCCGTTTATTCTATTTTAAGCACTGCATACCTGCATGTAGTTCTCCTCAACACCACGTCCACCCACACCACAGTCCACCATATCCACGCCCGCACCATCAGCAGCCGCATTTGCGACACGCTTTTGCGACGCATTTGTGACATTGCCAGGCATCGTGGTCGCGTCGCCAATCCGGCGTCGCAAAACATCCAGCATGCCACATAGGGGCTCCATATAACTTCGTGACTGGGAGTTTGGTAGGTGCTGGGAATGGGGAGTTTGCGACGGTGTCGCAAATGATGTGTCGCTGAATGGAGTGGCGCGCGGGGCGGGTGTGGGGGTGGCCTCCATTCGGGCTGTCAATACAGCGGGAGACGTGACGAAATGTGTCATATGTGAGATGCTATCTATAGACGGAGTGAATTCTATTTTTAAACTGGTAGGTGGGACGCTATTGATAGGTGGCGGGCTATTTATAGATTGCCAGGCAAAAATATTACTCGACTGTTGGACGGGAAGCTAGTTATACGTTACAAGCTACAATATAGTAACATACACAACAACCTATGACAGCCATTATATGCAAGCGTAGTCATATATAATATAGATTAACATAAAGTTGTATATATATCAAATTATCTAACACTATAGCAACATACACATCAACCTATGACAACCATTGCATATACGACCATACATCTATCGTCGCTCATATCCGCACAAGTCACTCGTATCAAACTCACCTGGAGAGCAATCCCCAGCACCCGGCTGGGCAGAGGTAGAAACAGCCCCTATGAGCACAAGCGCACTCTCTATGGCGGCTAAGGCTGGCCCATGAGTCACCCAGGAGGTCAGTACTACGTGCACTGTGCGTGACAGCAGTGCATACAAAGACTCATGGTACGCCTCTGCCGCCAAGTGCGCCAGTTCTGTTATCTCACTACACGCCACGTCAAGACCCTGTGGTCTGTCGGGGGGGGCGTGTGTGTGGAGGGTTAAGGGGTGGCTGTGAGTAGGGATGGGGTCAATGGGTATAGGGGGTGGGGGAGTGTATGTATATTAGTGAGTATTGGGGTGCGTATGTTTATTATTGAGTTTAAGGGGCGTGTATGACTATTATTGAGTTTAGGTGGTGTGTATGTTTAGTAGTGAGTATAGGGGGTGTGTATGTATACTAGTGAGTATTAGGGTGCGTATGTTTATTATTCAGTTTAGGGCGTGTGTATGTTTGTTTTTGAGATTAGGGAGTGTGTATGTTTATTATTGAGTTTAGGGAGTGTGTATGTTTACTATTGAGTTTAGGGAGTGTGTATGTCTATTATTGAGTAGTAGGGGTGTGTATGTCTATTATTGTAGGTAGTAGGGGTGTGTATGTATACTAGTGAGTATTGGGTGTGTAAGTTATTATTGAGTTTAGGGAGTG